CCTAAACCCTAAGTCCTAAACCCTAAACCCCTAAGTCCTCAAACCCCTAAAACCTTAAACCCTAAACCCCTAAACTCCTTCCAGTGGAAGGCTTTGAGTGAAGGGACTTCAGAGCTCACCACCTCCGTAGGTTACAGGAGCCTAAGCCCCAAAAGTATGTAAAATCATGGAAAAGAAAATGGAAACTACTAGAGTTAGGGGTAATTGGGTTTAGGGTTTAGGACCCCAAAAGTATGTAAAATAATGGCCTTTAGGGCTGTTATTATGGGCTTAGGGCTATTATTTTACATATTTTTGATGGTTACATGAAGCACCAACCCTGTGGATGGGTTTAGGGTTTAGGGTTTAGGGCTTAGGGTTTAAGGCTTAGTGCTGTTTGGGCTTAGGGCTCAGGGCTTAGGGGGTGGGATTTAGGGTTTAGGGTTCAAGTAACCAGGTATCTAAAATATGTATTTTCGGATTTAGATGGTATCTGGGACCTAAAGCCCTAATTTTTCAGTACTTGGACCCTTAGGGTAAAGGATTTGGGGCTTCAGAAAGATCGGTTTGTTCACCCGGAAGGTACATTGCTGCATCCACATTGGCATTCCTCTACTCGTTGGGCCACATTTTTGACACCCAACCCAAAACCCTAAACCCTGAACCCTAAGTATGTCCCACCATGGCACATGGATGAGGCCTAAACCTTCGACGATCATCAGAGAATCTTCGTTTCCTCCGAACCCTATAGTATGGGTACGATAACTATCTCAAAAATGTTCTCAAAACATGTGGACCTCTTTTGGTAGAGGAATATCTTACGACAGCTAAGATTTGGGGGTAACTACCCACATGACTATGGTCGGGTCCCGACCCAGACTCCTGGGAGGATCTAAAAATTAGATCCCCTATATAGACCCATTATAACCCCTATATAATCCTTATATAATTTCTCCTATGGTTCTAGGGGATCTAATTTTTAGATCCTTTTAAGGGTCTGGGAATCTTAAGTGCTGGGGTGACTGAGATTCTCTTAATAAGCCAAGGTCTAGGTGCTTCAACACGAAACCCTACATCCGAAACCATGGGTAAGCCTGCTTTCCAGGGCAGACTCTGAATTTCCAAGTCGCTCCTTGAGGATCCAGGTTTAGGGTTAAAGGGTTTAGGTGGTGTTAGGCACCAAAAAAATCACTCTAAATCCTAAACCCTAATGCTCGAACCCTAACTGGGTCATAGTTACCCTAAAGCTCCAAGTAGGTCCGAAAATCTGAAAGCCCTAGCCTATGTATCCCTCAGGATCCAAGTATCCACAAAAGCTAGCTAGGTCCCCAACAAGTATACTCTAAGTGGTATTGGGGACAAAGCCCTAGAATTTGGGTGCTTGGGCCCTTAACCTATATGGGTGTTTTGAGAAAATACGCCTACAAACCCAATTCTAAGGACTTCCCACACATTTGCTACAAATTGATGGAAACCCCAATACGATGCGCAATGTAGTAGGGCGCTCGTCCGAGTGAGCGGCCTTATCGAGAAGGGCTTCCTCTTCCTGGAAGACGGTTCGGTACATGCTTGAAATTCACCCTCCCCGAAATTTGGGGGTGTAGGGTTGGTTTAGGGGTTCTAGTTTGCCGCTTTCTACAGGAAACCACCCAAGGTCCCCTAAATTTTGGGGTTAGTTCAGGCTTTGCAGTTTGCTGGCTTCTAGAAGAAACCACGTTGGGTGGGGTGTACTTGAGCTCGCGCAGAGCCTGGGCTGGCAAGTAGGAGTTGCCGGGATCATGTTGGGAGAGTATGACCCTAAACCCTGAACTGCGTTTAGGGTTTAGGGGTTCGGGTTTAGGGGTTGGCCCTAAACCCTAAACCTCTAAACCCTAAACCCCTAAACCCTAAACCCCAAACCCTAGGGGTTTAGGGTTTCGGGGTGCTTCAAGTCAGCGTTGAGTGGATGCTTAGGAATCCGAGAGCTTTATGACAAGTATGGCTCATCCTTTCATGTCATGCTACCATTAAACAACCCGGGTTTAGGGTTTAGGGTTTAGGGTTTTAGGGTTTAGGGTGTAGGGTTTGAGGGTTTAGGGTGTAGGGTTTTGGGGGTTTTGGGGGTTTAGGGTTTAGGGTTTAGACAACCTTTTCCGGTAAAAGGCCTCATACGGTCTTGACGGATATATTGTATTGTCAGGGGTTGGGGTTGCATTTTCAATATGATGGGGGCTAATGATTCCTAACCTGAAGGCCAACCCGTCGAAGTTACACTACAATTTGGTGAGGTCACCATAATTCCCTAAGGGTCTACCCAAAGGAGAAGCTGCAGGCACCAAATACTCTACACAGTTTAGTCAGGCCCTCATAGTTGGTGGAGAATCCCAGTAGTTTCCATTTTACTTTCCATTATCCCAATATACTATAAAATCCTATAATATACTATAACATACTATACTCTATTAGAAATTACATTAAGTTTTTATAATCTACTATGGTATACTATGACATACTATAATATATGATATTCTATTATAATCGACTATAATATACTAAAATATACGATATTCTTTTGGTATCTACTATAATACACTACAATCTACTATACGATTTTCGCGTGCGTGTGAAACCTTTCAGATTGAGCGCGTAGAGCTTAGGCTGGGTAGTTTGCAGATTAAGGCCTGCCCGCCGAAGCGATTGAGGTAACCCCGTTTAGGGGTTTAAGGGGTTTGGGGGGTTTAGTGTTTAGTGGTTAGGGTGTAGGGGGTTTAGAGTTTAAGGGTCTAGGGTTTTAGTTTATAATATGATTCAGTAGATTCTCAACATAGGGAACCCGAATGTAGACCCCAAAACTATAATCCTCATTATGAGACCCCCAAACAGGGTACCCCTAATTTTGGAAAACCCCCATGTAGGTAACCCCTGCTCAGGTACGGGGTTTGATGGCTTAGGGATTTGCGGTCGAGAGGATCAGACATGAGGTGTTGGCCGGTCTAAACTAAATTGCCTTTAAATGACCTAAGTTTGGTCCCTTGATGAGCTAGGTTCAGAAGTAGAAGCTCTTGAATCTAAACTGGCAACCCTAAACCCTAAACGCTAAACCCAGGGCTTCACATGTCAAAGGCCCTGCGTTGCCTCCACGACATCTACCTACGACAGAACTTGGGCCCGAAGAATGCTCAAACGAAACGCTCCTAGGACTCCTGCGAGGTCCTAGACCCTAAACCCGAAATCTTAGGGTTTAAGGTTTAGGTTTAGGGAACCCTAAACCCTAAATCTTAGCCCCTAAACCCAAAACCCAAAAGTCCTAGACCCTATACCCTAAACTGCATAGAGCCTGGTACCTGCAAGCTGCCATATTTTGAGCTCAAGAAGTTTCAGGGTTTAGGGTTTAGGGTGATGATCCGTAAGGTCATCACCCCCTACTTAGAGGTTCATGGGAGTTAGTAGCTACTCATGACTGCAGTCTGCATCCTATTTGAAGTTGGGTGTAAGCCATATACGTATAGGTAGAAATAACTGGATTCTTAATCCTGTTTGAAAATGGGGCAATCTATTTACATATAATACATAAGCCCACTTACGGGATTAAAATACGTAGCGTTAAAAGCCCTAAACCCTAAACCCTAAACCCTAATGAGTAGCAAGCAAGTCCCATGAACCTTCAGAGACGGTACTGGTAAGAGGGTTTAGGGTTTAGGATTTAGGGTTTAGGGTTTAGGGTTTAGAATTTAGGGAGAAAATCGCGTTAGTGCCGCATATTCTCAGCAACATGCCGCAAATTGTTGGAGGAATGCAGGAGCTCCCCTGAATTCAAGGTCTTGGACACCCAAGAATCCTAACGTCCTCAAAGCATGCCAATTTTGATGGACATACGCCTGCATCACCGCAGGCATATCTCAATGATTATCAGGCTCCGGGTCGAGCAAGATTCCGTTCATCAACTTTACTATATGGACCCTACACCCTAAACCCTAATCCGAAGAAAACCCCAAGAGCCCTGGGATTTTAGTTTATATGGGGAGTTCAGGATTTGCAAGGGGTAGGTTTTCTCTAGGGATCTTCTTTGAAAAGTTACCATATGAGTCCTGGTATCCCCCGTAATAACCCCTATAGTAGCCCCCTATATGAGCCATAGTCTAAACTCCTAGTATCCCCCTGAATAACTCCTGTAGTGATCCCCCTATAAAATCCCCTATATAACCCCTTTAAGGAGTTTAGACTATAGCTCATCTAGAGAGTCAGTCCGAGAGGTGGGAACTAGCGGGAGCATCTAAGGAAACAGTGTGGGGTACTTGAAAGTTCCTGGGGCTTAGTGCAAATACACAGAACCTGGAGTCATAACATGTCATAACCAAATCGAGCTATACAAGACCAGTTACGAGGATTATAAGTAGAGATATAGCCTCAGTTATAAGTACTTACCAAAGCCCATAAAGGTCCAAGTCGAATTTCTTCTGCTGATGGCCCTTCGCTGTCTTCATTCTAAATTCACTGCAAGGTGGTGCAAGATTTCTTCCAGTTGATGTAGCATATTGAGCATCAGGCGACCCCACGCCCTCCCACCAACCCCCTTCAACAAAACAAAGCGGGCCAACTTTCTCTCTGAGCATGACGGGTCCAACTGCCCACAAAGCGGTTTAGGGTTAGGGTTTAGGTACAGGCAGTTATACTTGTAATGGTAGCAATAACAAGTAGCTGTACTACTAGCTGATTTGGTTCCCTAAGTTTCAGAATGGTAGTTTTCCAAAATAGGGGGACCCCAATATAGACCCCCGAATACTATAATCCTTATTATATAGACCCGAAACAGATACCCCTAATTTTGGGAAACCCCAAAATATTTCCGGCTGCGTGCTACTCAGCAGAGGGCTCACATGTTCCAAGTTCTCCCGCACCAAACCCGAAGCCCCAACCACGGGTTTGGGGCTAGGGCTTGGACCCTTAGGTTTTTCACCTGAATAGTATGTAAACACATGCCTTTTGGGCTATATTTCCGGGTTTTGGGCTATTATCGCTAAACCCTAAACCCTAAACCCTACCTACTTTTGGGGTCCAGGTAGTACTTTCTCCAAAAAGATACGAAGGTACTGGCCCTCAGCTTCTCCGGCGTGGTGGTCCATCTTCGCCACCTCGGAAGGATGAGGGTTTAGGGTTTAGGGTTTAGGGTATAGGAATTAGGGTTTAGGGTTTAGGATTTAGGGTTTAGGGTATGGGGTTTAGGAATTAGGGTTTAGGGTTTAGGATTTAGGGTTTAAGGTTTAGGATTTAGGGTTTAGGGTTTAGGGGTTTAGGGTTTAGGTACTAGGGGATTCTATAGGAAGCGGGGGTGATACAGTGATTGAGCCACACGGTTTAGAGGTTTAGGGTTTAGGGTTTAGGGTTTAGGATTTTAGATCTTTTCCTCGTTTCACTGGACCCTGGGCACCCTTCCTTTTTTTGGCGGTTTTGCCCTGCATGTTTCTAGGATATATCCCAAAAGAAGTAAGACATCCAGGGTCGCGGTAGGGTTTAGGGAACCCCTAAACCTGAAACCAAAACCCTAAACCTCAAACTGTGTTTGGGGCTTGGGGGGTTTTATGAGATTCCGAGGATTTGGGGCTTTATGGTTTGGAGTGTTGAGATCCAGCGTTTAGAGTTCATCAGGCCTTTCTTGTTCAAGCTGTGGATTGTGGGGACCCTAAACCCTAAACCCTAAACCCATAGGGGCTTTCAGATCCAGAGTTCAGGGTCCTGGCAAGGGTTTAGGGTCTCTTGTTGGCCTCATATTGCCTGGTGGCCCTGCTTACTTATAACTACTTTTCCAAATGGCCTTATATTGGAAGTAGGTACTAAGCCCCATGGACCCTAAACCTTAAGCCTTAAACCCAATCCGTCACCATGACCCCTTTGAAGGCACCCAGTTGTATGTATTTACTAGTGTCAAACAGCAAAAAAAGGGATCGCCGAGGTATTGAATATCGGCGAGGCTTGGTGGACGCAAAGTTTGAAAGGCAAGGTTGAGCCCAGGTTTTAGAGTTTAGGGTTCAGGCTTGAGGGTTTAGGGTTTAGGGGTTTAGGGTTTTAGCAGTTTAGGGGTTTAGAATTTAGGGGTTTAAGCAAACAGTTTAGGGGTGTAAAGGTTTAGGGGTCTAGGGGTTGTGTTCCAGCAAGTAAAATATTACAGCATGGCAGGCCATAAGGAGACCGTTGACTTACGAAAGAAATCCTGCATGGTATCTTGCAAACAACCGATCCCGGATGTCTTGGACCATGCGAAACGTACAACCGAACCTTATCGCTAGCTTTCTGTTTGTGCCTTTTCGTTTTTCATGGAGAAATGGGTCATCCAGCATTTTCACCTTTCAACCCCTTCATCAAGGAATCATGCTATTGAACACTGCCTCCATGTCCTAAAGTCCCTGAATCCAAAATCCTGAAATCTAGATGCCGTTCTCGACCTTGACCGGCGTGAGGGTACCATAGTGCTTTTCTCGAGCTTCCGCATGAAGGCCTCGAACTCTTTTCCGGCCTGCGAATCGCCTCGGATCGGGCTTTTCCCAAGGCCATATGATGCGAGGCTGCGACACGGGCTCCGGAGGCGAGGGCCCTATGCACATTGGTCACGCGACCGTGCAGGGCCTTGAAGTTTCCACGCTGGTCGGATCCCAGCAACGAGACTCCTCCCTCGTCGGTCATGATCTCCGCGCTTGCGGTTTTGTAATTTGTGCCTATGGAAGGCTCCAAATTGTAGCCGAGGTTCGAAATTCCTTCCACCAAACCCTGAACCCTGAACCCAGAATTCTGACCCCCAACCCTAAACCCTGAATCCTGAACCCAAAACTCTAAATCTGGACATCGAACACTGCCTCTATGGCATTCAAGGTCATCCCAGCTGTTCGAAGCTCCTGGAGCCAGCTTAACAGCATGTAAGCTAAAGGATGTGACCGGGTTTCGGGATCTGGGGTTAGACGTGTCGGGTTTAGGGTTCTGGATAGATGGAAGATATCTTGCACCAAATTCAGGTCCAAAGTTGTGGAGGAGAAAGTGCACAAAGAAAGGCAGCACGACTTTTGCCCCCATCCCCTTGAATTTGCGGCCAGGCACCCTCTGCGTCGCTGTTGTTGCAATGAGTACTAAGTTTGAAGTGACATGCTGTTGTAATGTAGGGGCCGAAATCATTGCCAACATCATGTTGAGGTTTATTGGGTTAAGGGTTTAGGGTTTAGGTAATACTTATCCTTATAGGCCCTGAAAAGCCCCTGTCTCCATTTCATGTCTGGTTCTCTTTTCTGTTTGAGTCTTGGCTATCACCCGAATATCTAAATACTAATCCTTAATCCATCAACCCTGGCCTCCTAAAACCCTAAAAACCAAATCCCAAACCTCTAGATCCCTAAACCCTGAAGCCTGAAAGCCCTAAATCCCTGAACGTGGGTCTAAGATCGCGACTAGAATTTGGGGTTTAGGCAAAATGCTTCTACAATGGATGGGGGAATGTTGTGCCACCAAGTATCCCCAATGTGCTGTGATCACCATCACCACAGCTATACGGGGACAGTAGGTCTGAGGGGTTCAAAGCTAAGGGAAGGGAAGTTTTCTAGGGCCATGGGATTCAGGGGCAGGAACCCACATCTGCTTTCTCAAGCCTGACTTTCTAAACTTGCGCGGAGCTACAACAAGGTACGATAGATCAGGAGAGCGCTTCATGCGCGACCCAAAATTCAGCTTGCTTAATGCTCCTGAGACATGGGATTTCGGGTCCCAATACAAAAGTATCAATAGCTGCTGGTGCCATACCATTAGGCATCATTGGGGGTAGGCAGCGCTAAGCTAAGGAAACTGGAATTGCATCTTCGGGTGTTGTCAAAATAGTTTTTATGGCGATTGTTAAGGGGATCCACTCCACTGGCAACGTACTTGGTACTGAATTGCCACGGTACTGCGCCTTTGGGCGTACTTGAAGGTTCATGGGACTTAGCAACTACCTAAAACTGTGGTTTCAACCCTGCGTATCTAACTCTACCTATATCTGTTACCATCCATTCAAGTAGCTACACCCTGCACCTTGAACCTGAAATTCTATCCCATAACTCCTCAACTCTAAACCCTGAACCCTAAATCCTAAAACCCGAAACCCTGTGATGGTGCTCTCCTGAAAGCTGGCACGAGCTTCGTCGCAGTTGACTACCGTGTCCTTCTGTCCATTCACCTTTCTGACTGGCGTACGCTTGGATGTAGGGACCCCTAAGTTTGATTACGCTAAGTAATGTGTCTAGGGGAAGGATTATTTTAGATTTGAGGTTTCAAAATTTCAAAATTTTGAGATTTAAGGAAACTTCTAAGTAATGGTAAGTTACATGGCATTTAAAGGCTTAGGGCTCCGGGTTTAGGGCGCCTTTTGATGTTTTAGAGGACTCTGAAGCCCCCATAAGGGTGTGTGTATATGTATAGAGTGGCACCAAGCGGTATCTCTAGCTGCAGCATAAGGGTATATCTGTATATATATATATAAATATCAATCTCTCTCTCTCTCTCTCTGTCTACCTATCTGATTATCTATCTACCTATCTAGGAGCCATATATATATATATGTGTGTGTGTCTTTATGTGTACATATATGATCATATCTGCAGGGCCTCAGGATAAGGGGCTCGTGCTAGCAGCCAATGCTCCCAATCCTTGAACCAAGGGCTGCTGCCGAGGTCTTTAAGGGTTTGGAATTTGTAGGACTTATAGTCCCCGTTAAATAGATAGAATATGGGTATCTGGGGATCTTAATATAAGGTTTCGGGTTTAGGGTTTGGGGTGTATGGGATCCTATTACAATATACCCAAAGCCATATTCTATCTACTTATGGGGGAAAGCCTTCGAACAATGAGCCCTAAACCGAAAAATCCAGACCAGGGGTCCAAGCACATTCTGCTTGTAGGACTTGATGCTTTATGGTAAACCTCTTCATAATCCCATAAACCCCTTTAAAAGGGACCCCAATAATGAGAAACCCTCATGTAGGGCTCAAGGTCTAAACTTAAGCATCCCAAGACCCATCACAGCTGGGCCCTTTAACGCCACCGGCCCTCAGGAGGTGGGCGGCCTATGACAGGTAGCTGGGTTGGAATCCTAAACCCTGCGTAACCTGCTTTTAATCCCTTTATAGTTGGGCATGAAAAGACCCTGAAACTCCAAGTGTGAGCGGCGAAAATCCGTGACTTCCATGGTGCACGAGTCTGCCCCCAGTCCTGCCCCAGTACCCCTCCCACCGCTCCCTGAAGCCCACCACACGCTGCAAGCGTCTCTGTCCTCTCAGGCACGGAGTGCTGGTCACAGGAGCCCTGCATAAATGTTTTAGAGGAGCTGAGCTTCCAGGAGCCCTAAAGCCTAAACCCCTAAACTTAGGGTTTAGGGTTTAGGGTTTAGGGTTTAGGTAGTTTCCCTAAATAAGGGGATCCAAATAGAGACCCCCAAATACTTTAATCCTTTTTATTGGGACCCGCAAGAAGGGTACCCCTAGTTTTGGACAACCCCCAAATACACCAAACCCTAAACCCTAAATCCATATACACCCTAAACCCTAAACCCCTAAACTCTAATGTACACCAAATGGAAAGCCTGTTCATAAGGGTCTTAGAAGGGTTTTAGTGGGAACCCCAACGAGGAAACCCCAAGAATATAGAAGGAACATAATAGAATATAAGGACCCCGGTAGGTATATTCCAGTAAAGTCGATTAAGGTCTGGGGTCAGCGGGCCAAAATTCGTTTGAGGCTTAGGGTATCCACCTTGAGCAACTACCTGGGTGTTAGCGGCTACTTCTGGAAATGGAAAATACCTAGAGTCCCTCTTAAGTAGATAGAATATGGCATTGGGTATACTAAAATAAGATCCCCATATACCCCATATTCTATCTACTTAAGGGGGACTATATTTCAAAGGATTTTCAGAGTATACACACCTCAAAACGAGTGGTCAAGATGCCAAGACGCCGGCTTGAAGTCGTATGAGCTATAGTCTAAACTCCTAGTATCCCCCTTTATAATGAAGACTCAAATGGAAAACAACATGGAAAATTACATGGAAACGGCTATAAGCTGTGTATATATATATAAGGTTATGTAGGGGATTATAGGGGTCATAGTCTAAACTCCTAGCATCCCCCTTAATCTCCCCTATAGTAGTCCCCTAGACAATCCCCCACATAGCCCCCTTTAAGGAGTTTAGACTATAGCTCATATAGGGTTTAGGTTTGCTATTCTTCTGATGACCACGCAAGCGGTCCTTCCCAGGTTCTTACGAATCAGCAACTAGTGTTGGTGTACCATTTAAAACACTTGTGCAGAGATTCTGGGTGGGTCATGAGGAGGATTAGCGAAGAACGACTGCTTGTGTAGGATGAACCCGGGTAGTGTTTTTTTGGTGGTTAAACCCAGTAAGATTATATTCCTGATACAAAATACTATACCCAAAAAACAGGATATAATCTTGCTCTATATTGGGTACCATAGTATCCCCAAATAAAATACTACTCACCTGCTGGGAGGCACCCTAGTCTAAACTTACAACTTGAACCTTACACTGGAAAACCCAAGCCCCAATTCCCTAAAGCTGAGAACCCAACCCCTGTAGACCCTGGACCCCGGATCCTAAACCACGAACCCAAGCTATACTCCCAAACTTTAAACCCTCAACCTTGCAAACCCTAAACCCCACACCCAAAACCCTAAACCTTACTCCAAAGCCCTACAACCGAATTCCTCCTTAAATCCCAATAGAAGCTGCTTGCAGAAAGCTTGCGAGCTGCACCGGCCGCAATTTCAGCTGCGGACGCATACTCGCCAGGGCCTGGGGTTCCGGGGCTTAGGATGTTTTAGGATTTAGGGATTAGGATTTAAGGTTTGAGGTTTAGGGTTTAAGGTTTAGAGGCCCCGTTTCGGGGGTTTAGAGTTGAGGGTCACTGATTCAAGGATTGTGGTTACAGGTGTAGCGCTCAAAGGGTGAAAACATCCCATAGCAGAATGCTCGGGGCCTGCTAGCAGGTGCAAAGGTTCCCGGCATGCCCTAGCTTGAGAGCTTCAAGTTCAGGGATTCGGGTTTAGGGTTTAAGGTTGGGTGGTTGGGAGTTCCGGCCCAAGACCCAATCCCATTGGCGAGGATGGTAGTACGTTAGGGTCTTTTGGGGTCCCGCCCTTGTAGGGAAACCCAGCATTTCAGGATTTTAGCAATCTTTAGCAGTCCAGGTCAAGTTGCAAGTTCGGATCAGGGCCCATGAGCCGAGGTCCTTGCTAATCCTCTGCCTTGCCCACCCAAAAGCTACAGCCACAAAATGCAAAGCCTAAACCCCTACACCCCCAAACCCCCTAAACCCCCCAAACCCCCAAACCCCCTGAACCCTACACCCCTGAACCCTGAACTCCTACGCTCATAGCCTCAAATCCTGAACACGCCGTTGATATCAAGAGCACCTCATTACTGCAGCGCGGCCAGTAGCCCAGAATGCCGCAGAAGCCACCCAAGTCCTGGGTAGAGATTGGGATAAGTTTAGGGTTTAGGGCTTAAGGTCACGGGTCTGGGGTATGGGGCTTTAAGGTTTGAGAAATGGGAAGCTATTTGAGGCCAGGGCTTCCTTGCACAATGAGGTTGTAGGCCTTCGGGTTTGGGATTGCATTTGGGGTTTAGGGATCTTGGGGGCCCCAACCAGCAGAATTGGGACCCTCTGGGCCTACAGCTATCATGCGACTCTTATAGCTCCATACTCCTGGCTTTGGGCCTGTAATCCATGGGGTTTAGGACGCCTGCGCCTGTTGACCCGTGGGTCCTTTACCAAAGCTCTAAGAACCCTCCTACACGGAGCCTGGTATCTCGGAGGAGAGGCTGGGTTTTCAAAATTCACAACTTTGAAGGCCCAAGAGCCCAATACTCGTGGAGTCCTACACCCACAGCCCAAAGCCCTAAACGCAGTTGTAGCGTTTAGGGTTACGGGCTTAGGGTTGACTACATAGCTAGACCTCCCAAATACCCATGGCAATAGCCTCTAGTCCAATGTTTGGGGGTGAACGGCCAATCCTCTTTTGGGAAATTACAAACCCACCCAGCAAACCCCTCAAACCCTAATCGGTAGTACCCTAATCTATATTACCCTAAATCCTAAAACCTTTTAACTCCACAATCCGCTTAAAAAAGACTGGGCACATGCGGGGAGCGAACGAAAACGTCAAGGCCCAGGATGCCTTGACGTGTATGGGGCTCAGGGAATTTTACGGCATTTTGGTTTAGGGTTTAGGGGTTAGAGCTTTGGAATTCAGGTTTAGGGGCTCGAGTTTCGGGATTTCGGTTTAGGGCCTATAGGGTCTACAGGGGGAGTAGGGTGGAGGGTCTAGGGGCCGGAGTTTCGGGATCCGACTTCAGGGTTTAGGATCTACATAAGCTTTGTGTTGTGTTGTAAGGCGTTTTAGGGTTGAGGGGGTAGGGGTAGGGTTCGCATGGCAGGGGATTTGGTGTCCCAGGTGCTTCTACGGGAATGGTAAAGAAACTGGAAACCACCAGGTTAGTTAGGGGTGAGAGCTTGGGGGCTGATTCCGCTTCAGGGAAATGGATTTTGGCGTTTAGGAATTTGGGATTAAGGTTTTAGGGGTTAAGGTAAGGGATTAGGGCTCCGGGTTTGGGGAATAGGATGAAGGGGTGAGGGCTTAAGGATTACCTAAACCCCAAAAAGTAGGTAGAATAATCGCCCAAATACAGCCCAAAAGACCACTATTCTACATACTTTGAGGGTTCAGGTAGGAGCGCACAGATTTGGATTCAGGGTTTGTAGTATCTGGGGGCATACCCCGTTAGCTTCCATTCGGGTTGAGCCCTAAATCCTAGACCCCAAGCCACTTTGCGCCTGGCATAACTAGCAAACGTTTCCCTAAACCCCAAACCCTAAACCCTAAACCCTGAAACCTAAACATTTAGCTGGCGCTTCTTAGGTAATGATGAGCGGCATCCTTTAAAGTCGTTCTTGAGGAATCTGGGTTGCTGTTGAGGAACCTAAGCTAAGTTACCATAAGGGGTATGTAGCAATTAATATGGTTTCCCCAATATTGTAACTTAAACTAAATTTCTTAACAGCAACCCAATAATCCCTTACACCAATCGCTAGGACCCAGTCCCCAGTCCAAACCCTAAACCTTAAACACTCAAGCCCATATAAACTTACCATTACTTAGGGTTCTTAAATTTCCTTAATTTTGAAACTTCAAAGTTTAGAGCCAAAATGATCCCCCCAAACCCTACGCAATATTCATAAACCCTATATCTATATAAACAATTTAGTGGTCTCCATCTTCTTTTCACTTCTTTACGAGTAGCATGGCAATTAGCACCCCTACCGCCATGTTTTCTTTTAGGTACCTGTAATCGGAATATAGGGAAACCCCCAAAAAAGGTGGTCCTACGTCCTAGCTAAGTGCCAAGGAGTTATGAGGGAGACAAAGATGCACAACTTGAAGATGAGGCTCCATGTCTGATAGCTTACATTTTCATATTTCAGATGGTGACTTCAGGGTTTGGGGGTGATAGGGTGGTGAGCTATGGGGTATACCGGGGCTATGTAAGGCCTATATGAGAAAACTACCCACCTCAAGTGTCCCTAGAACAGTTGTGCGCGGACGAATCACTTGAAGGCAAGCATCGCAAGCTAACGCAGAGGCCTGAAAATCACTAGAATTATGGTCCTAGATTCCTTGAATAGTAACTCATAGAGGGTACCTCAAATAGAGCATAAAAGGATATTGGTGATGATTCTTTAGGGTTTGGGGTTTATTCTACAGTGCACCTTTATTGTAGACAGCAGAATGCAAGCTAATGTATATAAAAAACATCTCCTGCAAAGGTCGAAACAATTCTTCAGATCCCAACATCCCCAATCACCCAACCCCTGAAAACCCAATCCCTGAAACCCCAAACCTGAAAACAAAGAATGCTGAATCACGGCAGCGGGTAGGTATGTTACGAGACAGTGGATACAACTTGTCGTAGTAAGTAAAGCACGCTGTAGCACATAAGATGCATGCTGCTTCTGTGCTTTAATTACTAACGGCAAGCGTACTAAAATCCCTAACCGGAAGAGCCCCTGGTCTCAAACTCAAAGAGTCGAGCGTCATCCCTGTGAGGAACCCCCCAGGAACACTTTGCCTCAGTCTAGGTAGGTAGGTTCTGAAACGCAATTTAGGGTTACGCTTGGCACGGTTGGGGCATTCAGGTAGAGCTTGCAGGATATTGTGTAACTTGCTTTGAAGCCCTTGTGCTAGCCTTGAGAAGGGGGCTCTTCGCAAGACCTTTCAAGAATAATCCGCAGGAGAAATCTCTCGACAAGTCTAGATCCCAGACTCTACCCTCTCCAAACCTGACATGGAAACTGAAAAGGAGCCACTTATGGACGACTGTCTTTCTTACAGGGTCTTTGTGGGGTTCCATGTTAGTTTAAGGGGGGTTAAGCGCTGCTGCAAACCTTCCTCCATCGGCAAGCCCGAACCCCTGAACGGCGTGTCATTCTCCTATGTATGTGTTACCCTTAACCCTAAACCCTAAATCCCAAACCCCGTGAAGGCTATGGTCCCCCGAAATCGGACACCAAATATATACACCGGCCAATACTCCTAATGAAACCTATATACTCTCACCAAAACACTACATGACACTTAGGACCCCTACTAAGGGTTAACCCTTAATTACCTATAATAGGAATATAAGGGAGTCCGAAAGGGTTAAGGGTCTAAGGTCCAAGCTAAGTCCCAAGGAGAACAATTAAGCAAACTACTTCACTTAGGCTTCAATGTAAGTATCGCTGCAACACCGCTATGCAAACCCAGCTTCCACGTCATTGCCCATGTTCTTTCCCATTTGGGGGGTTTCCCAAAATTAGGGGTACCCTTTTGGGGGGTCTCAATAATGAGGATTATAGTATTTTGGGGTCTATATTGGGGTCCCCTTATTTTGGGAAACTACCATTTCATTCTCCATTATTACGACCCTAAGCGTCCCCATCCAAGGGTTATGATTTACGATGAAATTGCTAGTGCCCCGACACGGCCCTTCAGGCTTCAGGATTGGGGTGGATGTTGAACGGTGTGCCGCTAGTGAGGTTTTACCTGTACCCCAGGAGTAAGTCAAATTATAGCCCGAAACCCTAAACACAGTCAAAACGCCATTATTCCACATGCTGTGGGGGTCCATCTCTGGCTCGCAGTTTAGGGAATGAGGACAAGCGTCTACTTGCAGATTCATGGGACTCAGTAGCTACTTATGACTGGGGTTCTAGACCCATGGAGAATTTCCCTAACTGGACTTATATAGGTTCTCCCAAGTATACATAAGGTTATAACTCCAGTTATAAGTAGTTACTAAGCCCCATGAACCTCGAAGTAAGGTTCAGGGTCAGGATCGAAGATTTCGATCTAGAATCTGTCTATCGGGATCTGGATTACAGTCCTTGTAGGGGCAAGTCCCTGGTCCTTCTATGTATATAACGTTTCCGAAGTTTTTAGGAGCGAGGAACTCTAAACCGGTTGAAACAATATGTAGTGATTGTATCTTAATGCTTGGGCTGGATGCGCACAAATCCCACGCCTTTGCATGCCCCAAACCCCACATACGCAGACTTTTTCAAATTGGAGGGCGTCTTCTTCAATAAACAGAGGCTCCTGACTCTTTTCCGATATACCTTAGAAGGACCCCCACCCCCGCAACAGCGGTATGATAGGAAGAAAGGAGGACCCTAGCATAATTACCATTATCCCTTATAGTCACTATTACTGGGTGGGGAGTCCACCTAAGATAGAAACCCTAGATACTAAACCTTTTACTGGGTGGGGGGGGGGGTTCACCTAAGATATACCAGAAGTCATTCATGCTGACAAACTCAAAGGTGAGATGCTAATCCCTAGCCTGAGAAAAACCTCCGAATGCTTCAGGTTGGCTAGGCTAACAAGGTTTTGGGTTTTGGAGTATGAGCACATGAAACGCTGGATGCCACATATGGCTGTTACAAGCTGGGGGCCCCATCAAAATCCACCAATACATCCACCCCACCCCCGTGCTCGCATAATTTCGGAGAAAAAGAATGCGGCCATAGTAGGCGGTATTGCTTAATAAGGGGGGTTGGGAGGTTATGCTTTGGGAATTGCTAACCCTGAACACTACACCGTAGACCCCAAGCCATAAACCCTAAACCCTGGACCCTACACTTAAACACACTCAGAGGGCTGGGAATGAGCCAAATGGGTAGTAACAACAGTTCTCTGGGATTATAATATAAGGGCGTGTAATCAGAAGTTAAGGCCAAGGGTGTAAGCTTCAGGGTTTCCCCCAAATCCTAAACCCCACTCATTCCCAGGCCACCTCAGCACTAACAAATCCAGCTACTTGCGTCGCCGAGCCTCTCGACTTCCTCTGGCGACACATAGGGGTTGTTCTAGAGGCCCTTGAGGGTTTAAGGTCTAAGGTTCAGGGCTTACAGCCTTGGAGGAGGGTGCCATTGGCATTGCACTTTCTCAAAAGGGGAGTCCAACGAAAAAGAGAACCTATCTTCTGGCCATTTTGAGGACAGGTATTTCACACAACTACCACGCCCACCACTCCTAGGCAAGTAGTATTCTAAACAAGGGACAGAATCTTCGGGTTTATGGAAGGCCATGGGAAAGGGGAATGCTGCACCATCTTACACACCCTAGTGTAGAAACCGAAAAAATCACAACTATCTTCGAGGTCTATCTGAGGCACCCTATCCCATAACTACATACAAGGAATCTAGGACCAGGATATTGGCAATTACCCTTACAAGCCCCTGCATAACCCAGTTTCCAATTCATTGTCCCCCACCAATCCCTTCTAAACCCGAAACAATAGATGACTATTCAGGCCCGTGTATTGCACACCTATATAACCCTGTATCCTGCAAGATGTGCAAGATTTTTTGACCTTGAGTAGAAGAGAGGGCTGGCTCAGCTGCAATGTCAATCCTTCAAGGAGAAACCATCGGATTAGGGATAGGGTTGACTTGAGGGTTTAGGGTTTAGGGTCCCTAAACCCTAAACGTACCCCTAAGGGCCCAGGGCAAAAAACTACAGTTACACGGCATGGGGCTGATGGAGCTGGTTGCTAATTATTAGGGAAAGAAGGAATTCTCTACTCAGAAGCAGTAAAGGCATGGCTAGAGGTTTAGGGTCTAGGGTTTAGGGTTAGAGGCAAGTCCTACTGTCTTCGTAAACAACTCCAAAACATCTGCATAGATCCTGTAATTATAACTGGTGCCTGTAACCCCATTAAAAGCCCCTAAGTCTGTGAACGTAGCTGTGATTGGGTTTCAAGTGCCGATTTGTGTAGAATTGCCCTGGACCTCCAAGTGCACAACCAGATCCCGTACTTAGCTCCTCTACACTGGTTCATGGACCTCAGCTCAGCTATGTGATTACTACTTGGAGGGACACAGTAAGTACCTATAGCGATACTTATACTACCCTCTTAACTGGCCTTATACAACTTAACACGGATAAAGTTTGGGGTTTAGGGTTGACGGGTTAGGGTTGTAGGTTAAGCACTAGCAATGAAAGCCCGAATTAAACCCTGACCAAATCCTTCAACCCCAAAACGTGAACCCAAAATCTCTAAGCCCTGAACCCTATCATATCACTTTACCCGAAATTCCAAATCCCAAAGCCCATAGGCCCGAGCACTTAAGTCTAAAACCGGACCCTGAACCCTAAGCCCTCAAAAACCCTAAAACCTGAACCTTAAATCCTAAATCCTAAACCCTAAACCCTCAAAACCCTAAACCTTAAATCCTAAACCCTAAACCCTAAGCCCGCAAAACACTTAACCAGACGGAGCAGCGCGAGCCAGGATGTCCGCGACCTGCTTCCGGCCAGGAGCGAGGCTCCTGGTTTGCGGAGTGTAGGGTAGATTTTGGGGGGGTTCCAGAATTAGGGGTACCTTTTCAGGGGTTCTATAGGGGTTATATAGGATCTGGGGTTTAGGATTTGGGATTTAAGGTTTACGGTGCAGGATAGAGGGTTTAGGGTCTAGGGTCGTTCCTAGGACTTAGGATCAGGGTGTAGGGTTTAGGATTTAGGGTTTAGGAGTTTGGGGCTTAGGGCTTAGGTGTTGGGATGTAAATGGTGTAGGCTTTCCTGAAGGTCGTGGTGCATGAGGAGGAGTGGGGCCGGCTATGTAGGCTTATGTAGGTATGTAGGTTTGTTCTACAGATCCACTCCCCTTAAGGGCGTCTAAAGTAAAGAGCCCCAAGCCCCCAAGGGCTAATAACAGTGAAGTGGGGTGGTCCTGAAAAAGTAAGGGTGGCCAAGGTGGTTTTTGAAGGGAACTGGCAACTATTCCCATGCAGCTGATGTGTTGAGTTTACCACTACCTGGTGGAACCCTTGCGAGTGCGGCTTCGTCAAGAATTTATAGGATGTATGCAACGAAATAAGGACACGCCAGCTTAGCCTCTTCTTTCGCGCAAACCAAAAGGTCAGTATCAGCCGGGCTAAATCCCATACCCCACATCTTACTAAATCCTGAGCCTCAAACCTAAACAGTAAACCTTTGCACTTTAGGGCTTCACCCCGTCCTCAAGTACCAGTGGGAAATGCATAACGTGACATAGAACATGCCGTATGGGAACCACAACTGATGATCATACGTCCGAGCGCCTAAACCCTCAATCCACAGCCCTTAAACGACCAAAATTCCCTCACCAACAAGCCTTCAACGCTAAGCTTCACCCCGAAAAGGTCCTGCTCTGTGGAGGCCACTCTGAAAACCACTCTGTCCTTGGGCAAAACCACGCTCTATGTTCTTTGGGGGCTTAGGGTTCAAGGGTTAGGGTTCAGGGTTGTTGGCTTTACCATCCTCGGAACGCGCCTGAAACTCCAAATAACCCCTTTCACAAAACGGCCACCAGGCCTTGTAGGGCTCGTTCTGGTTGGTTAAAAAGCCTAGACCCTACCTAAACCCCAAAAGTAGGTAAAATAATAACCCAAAACCCCCAAAAATAGCCCAAATGGCAATTATTCTACCTACTTTTGGGGTCCAGGTACACCTTTTTACCACCCCCTTTATTTACCCACAGTCTCTGCGCAGCTGGAAGCCCTACACCCTAAACTCTTGACTTAAGCTTGTCGGGATGTGGGCTTTTGGCATGAAGGCGGCCATCCTCCACACAAACACGGAAGCCCAAAAGCCGGCCCTTCCCAAGACTAGTCTCCTTCAATGGTTAGGGTTGAGGTTCAGGGTGTAGTAAACCCTAGACCCCTAAACCTAGGGTTGTCGGTTGGTTACATAGGCTTCCATGTGTTTTGGGAAGAGGTTTATAGGGTTTAGGGTTCAAGACTATTGGTTGTTCGCTAAGTGGACTTGCCGTTTGCTTCACGGCTCTAGAAGGGCTCTAGAAGGTCCAACTGAAGAATTTGTCAAACAAAGAACCCTACAGCTCCCAACAGGGAGCCCATTATCACTGCAGAAACCTCGAAAATTCTCATCCTGAAAAGGGCCCAAATATACCCTTATTTGGGTAGCCCTGCCAAGGAATCCCTGACCCTTAGAGCCCAACCATAAGCCCTCAACCTTAAGCCCTAAAACCTGGTAGTCTGGGGGGCTGGTTCGGAAACCCCGTAAGCGTGTCTCCATGTTTCGAGGCCCCAACCCAAAATTCTGACTCCTTTAACCCTTAAACCATAGCCCCAAATCCCTGAACCCTCAACCCCAATCCTTAAACCCTACTCCGAAACGGGAATCCTAGCCCTAAACCAAGCCCTGAACCCTTAACCCTAAACAATCCCTGAAGCTTAGCTGGACCTCAAAAGCAGGCAAACTGATGTTCTAATACCCTTCAAAACAGCCCAGCGGCTGTTATTGGGTCGCTGTGATGATAACATGTGTATATATAATCAATGATGTTTTCTTACTGTAGTACCTTAATCTAAGTTCCAAGGATCTAGAAAGTAGCTCCCCCCAAAGGGTTCTTCGAAATTACCCTATAATAGAAAAAGGTACCATAATGGGGGCTGTACTTTCTAGATCCTTCTGGGGGTCTGGGTAAGGCTTTAGTAAGGAGACCCAAAAATAAAAGGAAAAGGGTACTACTGGGTACCCAGAACCCTAAACCCTTAAACCCTTAAACCCTTGAACCCATAATACCCTAAACCCTAAACCCTAAAACCCTAAAACCCTTAAACCCCTAAACCCCTAAACCCTTTAACCAGGGGTCTGGGTTGGGGGGTCCAGGTAAAGCTGGAGTGAACAAGGCTCGTTGTAGTCATCGGCCTTGGCTCTCTTGGAGGTTCTACTTGGAGGCCCATGGGACTTAGTAACTTAGGGTTTAGGGTTTAGGGTTTAGGGGCTTAGGGTTTAGGGTTTAGGGTTTAGGCTTATAACTGGGCTTATAACCCTACTTATAATCCCCCTAAATAGCCTTATAGGGGTTACCCCAATTATAAGTAGGGTTATAATCCCAGTGATAAGTTGTTAGTAAGTCCCATGGGCCTCCAAGTACTGTCCAGGTACTCATAAATAGGGTTGGGGTTTAGGGTGCTGATACTTGAGTCCCTTTGAAGGGGCCATAGGCATTGTCACGGTTTAGGGTTTAGGGCTTACGTTTTGGAATGATTTGGGGGAAATTAAGCAAAACCAGGCCTATGTTCTATAAAAAGCTCCATTTAAGGTTAGGTCGGGTGAGGTTGCTCCTAGTTGCCCTTTACTACTTACAACTAAGCTTCTAACCATAACTCTACCGAAACCCTACACCCTTACTAACTACGTACTAAGGTTCTAACCTTGCACACATATCTGGATTGTGGAAAACGAGGCCAGCCAGGGGGATCATAGGCAGGGACTAAGTTAAAGCCAGCTAGAAGTACTTACTAAGCCAACCGAAAGAAACCCCGAGTACTCTACCAAAAACGGGACTTGGAAGAAAATCACGCACGGGTTCTTTGCAGGGAAAACCGGAATATAATTTTTGTAAACTTCCCATAGATATATTCCCTCATTTCCTACGAACCCCCAGTAAGTTTAGAGTTTGTTGTTGAAATAGCCTGAATCATGACCCATGATTCCGCTGTTGCTGTAACCATTAGAAATGAACTCACAACACCTTGTTCTAGTTGAGAAAGCCCCCGCATCATTCATGGGTCCGCCTACTCCCCCTCCCACCCATGCTACTCTCGTCCATGTTCACTCTTCATGAGCCTTAACCGGACCTGAAATAAGCCTAATTAAGAGAAAGTGATAGGGGAACCCATGAAGTTTGCAGGTTGGGAGCCATATAAGAAATTCATAGCCTCATTGAGCTTATATCGAGATTAAAGGCAAAGACAAAAACACTGTTGTCAAACCTACCCCTGGAATCCCAGAGTCCTAAACTTTAAAGCCCTTCGCCGGACACCTCGAACCCTTAAAGCATTACCTTCACGGTTTAAGGTTGTAGAGATTGGGGCTATAGGGCTATAGGGTCTAGGCTTAACAGATAGCCTCCCCCAAAACAGCGATGGAAACTGATATGGTTCCTCTTCCACAAGCTGCTGAGAGCCAAGTGGCGCCGATGGCAGAACCACACGAAGTCCATGCGACAGCTCGCTCTTAAAGAAGTGCCTTCTTGGAAAAGATGGCATGCTTGCTTTCTTGAAGGCAAGAAGGTTAAAAACAGGGTGATGCGTCCCTCAATTGGGATTAGCCTGCTTGTAGCCCCGTGGATACCCTACCTACTGAGTCCCCTTAGCCTCGAAGTAGGAAAGCGTTCGGTGGTTTGCTTGCTGGACCAGTTTGTCAAGAGCCCGGACCCTGAACCCTCCAGAAATGTGCTGCCCACACGGTTTAGAGTTTAGCTTTTGGGATTGGAGGCAGAAAAACTGTTCATGTTTCACAACACTTGACATTATTCGGAATGAAACCCACAGATGAGTTTTAACTACCATTTCACAAGTCCATGTACATGACAAGGCAAGGCTGTTTTTGAGTATATTCTAAGATAATACCCTCCCCAAAAAAGCGCACATGTCAGCTTAATGCCTAATGGCGAACCCAACACGGCCCCGTTCCTGGGCTTCCTGGCCCCAAGCAGGTTTAGCTTTCTAAGGACCGACGTGATTTTGAGAGGTTATATAGAGGTTGTATGGGGGTTATATGGATACATCTAGGGACAATGGAACATAAAATGGAAACTACTAAATGTAGTATATAGGGCTTGGGGACATGATTTGTACCCCTGAAGGCTCGTTTACTGAAGTTATGAATGCCCCTTGGGCGGTTTGAGCAGAAGGGATATTTGAGCTTTGCTCGCCGCAGGTCAGACAGGAAAACTTCCGCTTCGGACTCTGCACTCTGCGCTTAAGGGGTGAATGCCTACACAAAAGCAAACTACTGTTGCCTGGGATGTTATCAACAATCTCCATACATCCTACTTCAAGTAGTATGGTAGAGACTTTAACTTTGAAAAGAAGCAACACAACTGAGTAGTGTTTTTTGGTGGTTGAACCTAGTAAGATTATATTCCTTATATAAAATACCATACCCCAAAAGGAGTATAGAATCTTACTCTATATTGGGTACCATAGTATCCCCACATAAAATACCACACAACTGAAGGAGGGAGTCGGGTCTTTGAAGCGACTTACTTACCCAAAGGCTCGACATACTTGGGACTTCAAGGGCTTCCAGCGTAGGTACGCTTGGCCCAATTGTACCCCGCGTGACCATAGACCTTCAAGTCCCTCTTGGAAGCATAAACCCTTTCAACCGCAAACCATAGACCCTAGAGTCTAAACCGCAATGCCAAATCGGGCCAGGCTCTTTTGCTTGACATAGTAGCCTGGCTTCTGCTTTTAATAGGGGCTTCAGAAGGTAGCATGTATGCTGTGTATATATATATATGTATACATACAGCTCGATCTATAAGGCTTCTATGCTGGGGTATATGCGGATTCTATGAAGGGTCCTGTAGTCACAGCCACAAATGTCCAACCCTTCTTGCCATATTGAAAAAAGTAGATAGGTAAGGTGGACCCCCACCCCGCAACAGCGACTCTAAATATATGACAGTAAATACATGACATTCCTCTTATATTCCTAGTATACCACGAAGACAGGGCGGGGGCGTCCACCTAATACATAGGGTCCTTACGGAACCTATAAGAGAAAGCATTTAAATATCCCAAAGTCCAACCCAGACAGCTAGCCAGAGAAAAAAGCCGAGGCTTGCCCTTCTACCAGCGATTGCTGAAGAGGACCATTTTTGAGGGTGGGGCTCACAAAGGTCTGGAGAACTATAGGCGTAGGATTTAGGTTTAGGGTTGAGGGTTTTGAGATCTTAGACTTAGAGTATCAGCAATCGTCACAGCGCTCCCGCAGGGTCATGTTGGTAACGAATCACAAGGTTTTATGTACAGCATACGCAAAATGCACCCCCAAAGTAGCACTCGTCTTGCAACACAGATTACACCACCCCCCTCCACCCAAAAAAGGGCTGGGAGCCCACAAGGGGCCCTCAAAGACCACTCGCTCTTTAAACGGGCTTCATACCCCTCAACCCTAGATCTTACCATATCAGCTGCCATGTTGAATTAGATTCAGAAAGCTTTGCCACAATATCAGTCCGGGAGTTGTCCTTTGTACCACCCGTGGCTTTGGGTTCCTAAACCAAGAAATATGGCTCTTAGTAAGGGTATCTGGGACCCAAAACCTAGGGTTACAAACATAAAAAGTACAAACTTAGAGTCTTTATATCACCCTAGTATCCCTTATATACCCCTATAACCCCTGTAATTTCCATGTTCCT